TCCTGGCATCCTGTGAGTGAACAGTAGACTGTGCATAGGGACATTTGGGTTGATCCACTAGGCCCATGTGGCCTGTTATAACCCCAAAAAAGTATCCAGGCTTGGGAGACCTGGGGACCAGCCTCATCTGGTCTGTCAGTATTTCGGGAGGAAACTGAGAGACAGAGGGAAGACTCGGTGTCTCAGAGCACAGCAGGTGTCTCTATAACATCCAGGTTCCAGGTCCTTCTCTTTTTGTGTTTATCGCCCCATCTGCCTTGCACATGCACATAATATAGAATGTAGAACTCAAGGGGGCCTAACTTGGGGGCTCTCCGGGGCTATGAGTGTGAAGGCCCCAGTGAAATCTAGGGGACTGATTTGGGCATCATTTAGACATTTTTCAATAGAAATGAAGCCCAAAGACCGAAGGCTGGGAATGAGAATATTTGGGCTGGTTTCTTTCTGAACAGACTTGAAACCAGTTGAAATGGTACACTCAAAGTGGAGTCAGAGTCCGGTCATGGTGACAGACTGCATGGAGCACGCCCTGACCGCCTGCCACCCCCGCACCCGATACTCAGCCGGCTGGGATGCCAAGTTCCTCTACATCCCTATGAGCTACTTGCCGACCTTTCTGGTGGACGCCATGTTGACCTGGTTCTCCCCAAAGCCTGTAAGGGATGACTGAGGTGCTTACTATGTTGAAGCTGCTACGGTGGGAGCTGGGAGTGAGGGGGTTAAAGAGAGGGCGTTTTCACGTCACTATGGGAATATATCCCATGTCCTCAGGCCTCTTCTGGGGGATTCTAGGGATTTTAGAAGCAAAAACCCAAATTCTATGGCTGAGAGGCAGGGCCTAATGCACACGCCTCTCCCCTGAGGGGCCACCGAGATCTCGAGCCACATGCCCCTGTGTTCTCTGAGAAATCCACACTGGCAAGAGGATGAGCAACTGGAGGGCGCAGCCGCTCCTACTGTGCAGTGTCAAGCCCCTCAGTGTGTGCCTTGTCTCTGGGCAGCCTGGAAACTGACGGCGGTGACCTGCACAAAGTGAGGGTCCCTCTGCACTGAGGATACCCCGTGGACAGGGAAGGCCATGTGCAGGACAACCACCAGGTGACCCATTATCCGCAGGTGCCAACTCCAGGGAAGGCTGTGTTCTGAGACCCAGCCGCATCCTCAGGCCGCAGGAGAGCCACCTAGACGCTCGTAGACCATCAATAAGCCAGAAAGTACAGACCAAAGAACACTCTGTGTCGTGACGTTCATCTTTGATTCTTTATTGTCCAAAGATGCACCTGAGGCCTCTGATTTACTTTATGTAAATGTAATATGGAGCCAGTTCTCCACCGTTGCTGACTTTCCCAACTGGATCTGAAGTTAAAATAAACCCGTTTTTACTGCAATGTATTGTAGACATATTCTGCGAGGAGGCTGTCTTTAAAGTTTAGTTCCTTCATTTTTTAGAGACTAGAAGGAGAGGGGGTTTTAGGCTGGCTTGACACAGCCGTAGCGACAGGAGGCCATGGAGGACCGCACGTTGACTCTCCATGATCCCATGTCTAATTCCTGGAACCTGTGAATTTGTCACCCTGCATGGAAAAGAGTAGTTAAGTAAATTGCTGATGACACTAAGGATGCTACTGCTGTGGTTTTAACACAGGAGGGTGTCAGGAGTCATAGCAGGGAGACTGCACAGGCCCAAAATAATCCCAGAGCCTGGGACTGTGGGAGGAAGCAGAGGAGCAGCCAAGACGGGAAGGGTCCTGCCTGCCCTTGAGACAGAGCAAACCCAGGGGAAAGCGCAGCAGAGGCAACAATTCTGTTAGCAGTTGACAATTAGCCCAGACATATGCCCACAGAACCTCCTAGAAGACACACGTATCAGCTTCATCAGATCCCCCAGACCATGACTTCCATGTGGAGAAGAAAGAGTAGGGAGGAGGGGCAAGAAGAGCAGGAGCAAAGCTGCCTAAAGGAACAGTTGAGGGGCCTCCCTGGTGACTCAAGGTGTTAAGCACCACACTATGCAGCAATCCCAGCCTCTGCAGCACGAGTTCGACCACCGGCCGGCTAGGGAGCAACCCACATGGTGCAGCAGACCTCTCCTGTCTTGCCCGCCGCTCCCCTCAGCAGTGTATTTCGTCAGTCTGCCTGTTCTGTTCCCCACTCGGCCTCTGGAGAGTCCTCTCACCCCCGCACCTCTGGCCTGTGCTCCAGTTCTTGATGCATAAATAAATAAATGCTTTTTTAGAAAAAGAAAGAAAAGGGGAATGTATTGGCTTACATTATTGGAAAGTCCAGGGCCAAGCCGGGACCACCTTTAGCCAGTGGATAATCACATGACTGGACCTCGATGTTTCCAGCAAGGAGAGTTTCGGTGGAGGATGAGTGAATCATGTGCCCATGTGGTAACTGTGCCACTCAAATCACAGTTATGCAAACAACTGATAAATAAAATTGGGAAAAATTAAAGAAAAAAAAAAAAGCGCCCCAAGGTAGGCCTGCAACAATGAGATAAAAATACCACTACACGGTTGAGCGCTGGGTTGCCAAGCTGCCCGCAGCCTCTGCAGCATCGGTTCGATCCCCGGCCACCGGCCAGGGTCCCACAGGGCGTGCAGACCTCTCCTGCCGCCCGCTGCTCCCCTCAGCAGTGTACTTCGGTCCTTCTGCATGTTCTGCTCCCCGCTCTGGCTCTGGTGAATTCTCTCACCCTCCCGCGCTTCTGACTGTACCCAGTGCTTGTATAAATAAATAAATAAATCTTTCAAAAAAAAAAAATACCGCTACACACTGATCTTAAGAGAGGAGGGAAAAATCTATCTTTCTTAAGTTCATAAGGTCCATCTCAGAGGACAGGCCCACACGGGAGTCACTGTAGTCAGGTGACCTCTCATTATCCTAGCAGAAAATGGCCAGGAAAGATGGAGCTAAGACACCACCTCCTATTAGACAGAAATACTCAGAAGCAGGGGTGCTCAGCTTTGTTGTGGTTCTGCCCCAAGCTCAGCTTGCACTGTGATTCAGCAGTGTGACATACTTTTGTTTTTCAAAAGATTTTCTTGGTCTCTGAGTCCCGTCAATTCTGCCCAAAAGCCTCATACTCAGAGAGATTGTGATTTCCCTCCAGTACCTGCCAGGTGAGGTGGCCTTTCACAAAAGCTGCTGGCATGGATTTTGACTTCCCTGCAATGGGGTAGATGTCATGGGGAAAAAGTCAGTGCAGGCTGGAGGTGCAGGGGTGAAAGAATTCAGAGACAAGTGTGAAACAGCACAGACTGCTTTAAGGAAATACACTGCTAGGAGGAGTAGCAAGAGACAGGAGAGGTCTGCGGTGCAGAGAGAGGGTCCCGAGCTGGATCTATACTCCAGGCATCCTCGACTGGACAGGGGACTGGTCCCGGGTGTGCCCTGACTCATGAGCAAGTTGGCATAAGGGGTCATGGGCTCTTTGGATCACCAGCTTCATTCCAGGATCCACGGCAGCCGCACCCACCCCTTTGTCCACTCAAGCCTCCCAGCTGACCTGCCGGGCTAGAAATGGGGGCTTAGATTTTTCTTTAAGATTTATTTATTTATTTATACATGCACTGGGTACAGTCAGAAGCGCGGGAGGGTGAGAGAATTCACCAGAGGCAGGGCAGGGAGCAGAGCAGGCAGACTGACGAAGTACACTGCTGAGGGGAGCAGCGGGCGCGGCAGGAAAGGGACCCTCGCCAGTGGCCGGGGATGGAACTGGTGCTGAGAGGCTGCAGGCAGCTTCGCAGCCCAGCACTCAACCGCTACATCACCAGGGAGGCCCAGGGCTTACATTATTAATTCCGTAGAGACACCAGGACAGTAGAGGCCCATGTTTGGCAACAGGTCCTTTTAGGAGGGTCCTGGCATTCACCCCAGGAATCAGCAACACACGCTGCAGGACCAGCCTTTCCGTGCTGCGACCGCTTCCCCTGCAGGAACACAAGCTCCAGCCTGAGCGGCTCCCTGCGATGCAGTTCATCTAAAGGCAGAAGCCAGACGTGACCTGTCCGTTGTGCCTGCTGGGTCGGTCCCTTGGGTGGGACCCGGGTCTGTGGGACATCTCCTCCCAGAGCCTCAGTCTGCAGCTGCGCATCAGAGCTGCAATGATTGTGGTCGGTGAGGGAGATGGCAGAGCAGTGAACTGGCCCTTGTCCCAAGCCCGCTCCCAGCTCCCTCCCCCTCAACAGGGTCACCCTGACACTAGCTGACTATACCCTGCCCCTCGTGGGGTGTGGGCTCCCCTGCTTGGTGAGGTGAGCACACACAGCCCAGTCTCAGTGTCTGAGGCTCAGATGAGACGTGCCTTGGGCACGGGAGGCCTCAGGTAGGGCAGAGGGCAAAGTCACCCTCAAGCACTGGGGACAAGGCAGAGCACCGGTGTCGCCACTCTGAGAATGCTTTGGGTTTTCCTTCCAGCAACGCTCCACCTCTCCCTTCTGTTTCATGCCTCTGAGGACAAACACCCTTTCTGTAACAACAACGCCTTTACTCCAGAAAGCTGCTTTGTGAAGAGGAGACCTTTCACTCCTGTATCGCCTTCTGTCCTCAGAGTTGGGCAGTGACATCGGTTCTCAGGAGTGCACTTGTGTGCGCAGCCCGCTGAGGACACCAGGTCTGAGAGGGGCTTGACGACTATCCTGTCTGCAATCAAAGCAAGGCTGCCTCTAGAGCGCTTCCAGGTCAGGAAGATCCAGGGTCAAAGTGCTGGGGAGGAGGACTCTGACCTCCACATCAAGGAGGGTGGGCCTTGTTGCTCCGCGGGGCTGTGGCATCGGTGCCCGTAGAGGCAGGATTGGGTGATCAAGAGCACATATCAGAGCTCGCAAAAAAGTCCAAAGGGTGTACGGGGGAGGAGGAGGGGCAGGAAAAGAGTTCTGAAAGACAGGAGGGAAACTGATTTTCCTTACTGGAGAGCGTGACGTCGGAGGCAGGCAGACACGTCCAATTCCACTCTCTCTCTCACTGCAGTCTGTCTGCATCTGTCCCGCGTGGCCATGTGGCTGTACCTGCTGGCCCTCGTGGGCCTGTACTACCTTCTGCGCTGGTACCGGGAGAGGCAGGTGGTGAGCAACCTCTCAGACAAGTATGTCTTCATCACAGGCTGCAGTTCCGGCTTTGGGAACCTGCTGGCCAGGCAGCTGGACCAGCGGGGCTTGAGGGTGCTGGCCTCTTGCCGCGCTGAGAAGGATGCAGAGAAGCTGAGGGCCCTGGCATCAAGCAGGCTGGAGACCGTGCTTCTGGATGTCACCAAGACAGAGAGCATCGCTGCGGCCACCCAGTGGGTGAAGGAGCGCACAGGGCACAGAGGTAGCACCCACTTCCCAAGTCCTTTCTCTCTCTGTGAAGGGGGGCCCCTTTGTCTGCTGCATGGGGGAGATTGCCCACTGGTTTTAATGACTTGAAGTTTTCATCTCCTCTCCCTACTAACCAGCTTGAGTCTTTCTTTGTCCACTGTTCCCCAACTCCCCATTTGGGGCTCTGGAATTTTTGGGAGACTTTGGCCTGATGTAGTTGGCAATCCAGAGTTCCTGTCAGGTGTGTGCTCCTCATCCAGCAGAAGTTCTCCATTTCTTGATGATGATTCCCTGTGGGAATCAGAAACTGCTCCTGTGAGGGTGGAGGGGGTGCTGGCCTAGAGCCCTACATGGGGACTGAGACACAATACTGGAGCCAGGAACTTGGCCGGGTGTGACCTTAGCACTCTACGGGATCTTGCTGGTGACAGTGACCATCCCACAGGGAGTGAACACCTCATCTCACAGGACAGCCCTCAGCCCTCAGGACTTCCCAAGGAGCTAACCGGCCTGTGGCCATGCACTGTCCTTGTCTTCCCTCTCCCTTTCCATGGCCCTCTCCTCTCCCCGACACCCATACATGTGCTTGCACACTCCCCGCAGAGGCTGCTCAGAAAACCTGACATGCAGGTGAACCCATCATATCTACAAGGCCTCGTTTGTGTGGGTGCCCAGATCATTGGGCCTAAGTGGTGTCCTCCAGCAACTCAGGGGTCGGCTTTTCCCTTCTGCAGGCGGCCTGTTGTCTCTGCCCTACCCTCTCCCCGTGCTGCCTGCCCACGGTCCCCCCTGGATGGAGGGTGAGTGGGGACCACAGCTGGGGACTCCCTCAGGGCACAGCTCAGAGGTGCTCTCTCTCTCCCTCTGTGTCCAGGACTCTGGGGCCTGGTCAATAATGCTGGCATCATTGCACCCTTTGTCCCGAATGAGTGGCTGACCAAAGAGGACTTCATGAAGGTCCTGGACGTGAACCTGCTGGGGGTGATCGAGGTGACCCTGAGCCTGCTGCCCCTAGTGAGGAAGGCGAGGGGCCGCGTGGTCAATGTCTCCAGTATCCTGGGCCGCGTGTCCCTTTTTGGAGGGGGCTACTGCATCTCCAAGTTTGGCCTCGAGGCCTTCTCGGACTCCCTCAGGTACTGCATGCCTTGAGCCCTCGCTCTGTCTTCCTGTGTCCTGGCCTCCAAGGAGCCTGGTCCTGGGGTTCATCACAGACTAGATCCCTGTAGATCCCTCTCTTGCTTTGTCATGTCACTAGTGAGGACCTTTCTCTGTTTGGGGTGTCAGGATGGCTCTAGCTGTCAGGAGTTGATTTCAGCATGTCTCTGAAGTGGACAAGCTCCAAGTCAGAAAGTACCTGAGGCAGAATAGGAACCAGGATGATTTGCCGAGGAGACATGCACGCCGGCCTGTGCGGCTCAGTCTTGGCATGCCCTTCAGTGTGCACGCCATAGATGGGGTTCAACACACAACTGTGTGTGTGAAAACTCTGACCCTGAGAATGAAGCAAATGTAGAAATGGTGTGGTCGTGTCCCCTAGGGGCGGGTCAGAAGAGCCATGGCTGCTCCCTGTGCACCTTCAATTAGGGGAGGGTCCTAGAGCTGGGGTCTGAGTTGGGGCTTGGGACGAACGGGCTTCGAAACCTGGATCAGGACAAAGTCAACTGGGGGAGCTTCCCAAATGAAAGAATTTCATCAGTCCAGGCCGAGTGAGTAGTGGCCGACCGCCTGTGCTGGGGGATCCGGGGTATACACTAGGCCTTGCCTGGCCGAGGGATCTGGGCATGGGGAGATGAGGGTCTCTAGAGGGATGTGCTCCCTGGCAAGTTGTGCACTTCTGGCTGGTGGCATCGGTCCTATCAAGAGCATTTCATGGAAACTACTTCCTGAAATCAGCAGTAGAGACCCCGCTGGCTGCAGGTGAGTCTGCCTCTGGATGTGGGTGTGTGAGAGGGAAAGCAGAGAAGCTCTCAGAAGACAGCTCAGAGGACTGAGGTCAGAGAGATGCTAGAACAGGAGGGGAGGGAGGGGATAGAGGTGTAGGCAAAGATAAAATGGGCAAAGTCTGGAGAGCTATTGGATCTGGGGGTGTAGGGAGAAACAGCTGTAACTGGTGCCATGATGTGGAATAGGCAGGACTGAGCGCTAAGGAACTTGCATCTGGGAAATGTTTGTAAACGTGAACAAACCTTCCATGACAATCCTCCTCTAGGCCTCTGCACCTTGGCTTTCCCTACGTCTGGAGATACCCCACCAATCCTGTGTTCGGGTGGTTTTGGTTTTGCTTATCTTTTGTGTTTTCTCTCCAGTCTCTGACTTGGCCCCTCTGTCTATGAACCTTCAGGAGGGAGCTCTCCTTCTCTGGGGTGAAGGTGGCCGTGATTGAGCCTGGTCACTTCAGGACTCAGATGACACGTCTTGAAACAGTTACTGGAAACATCCAGAGGACATGGGATCGGGCCAGCCCCGAGATCAAGGAGCTCTATGGGGAGAAGTTCCTGGCATCCTGTGAGTGAGCAGTAGACTGTGCAGAGAGACATTTGGGTAGATCCACTAGGCCCATGTGGCCAGTTAAACCCAAAAAAAGTATCCAGGCTTGGGAGACCTGGGGACCCACCTCATCTGGTCTGTCAGTATTTCGGGAGGAAACTGAGAGACAGAGGGAAGACTCCGGAGTCTCAGAGCACAGCAGGTGTCTCTATAACATCCGGGTTTCAGGTCCTTCCGTTTTTGTGTTTATCGCCCCCTCTGCCTTGCACATGCACATAATACAGAAATTAGAGCTCAAGGGGGTCTAATTTGGGGGGTCTCCTGGGCTATGAGTGGGAAGGCCCCAATAAAATCTAGGGGACTGATTTGGGCATCATTTAGACATTTTTCAATAGAAATGAAGCCCAAAGACAGAAGGCTGGGAATGAGAATATTTGGGCTGGTTTCTTTCTGAACAGACTTGAAATCAGTTGAAATGGTACACTCAAAGTGGAGTCAGAGTCCGGTCACTGTGTCAGACTGCATGGAGCACGCCCTGACCGCCTGCCACCCCCGCACCCGATACTCAGCCGGCTGGGATGCCAAGTTCCTCTACATCCCTATGAGCTACTTGCCGACCTTTCTGGTGGACGCCATGTTGACCTGGTTCTCCCCAAAGCCTGTAAGGGATGACTGAGGTGCTTACTATGTTGAAGCTGCTACGGTGGGAGCTGGGAGTGAGGGGGTTAAAGAGAGGGCGCTTTCACGTCACTACGGGAATATATCCCATGTCCTCAGGCCTCTTCTGGGGGATTCTAGGGATGTTAGAAGCAAAAACCCAAATTCTATGGCTGAGAGGCAGGGCCTAATGCACACGCCTCTCCCCTGAGGGGCCACCGAGATCTCGAGCCACATGCCCCTGTGTTCTCTGAGAAATCCACACTGGCAAGAGGATGAGCAACTGGAGGGCTCAGCCGCTCCTACTGTGCAGTGTCAAGCCCCTCAGTGTGTGCCTTGTCTCTGGGCAGCCTGGAAACTGACGGCGGTAACCTGCACAAAGTGAGGGTCCCTCTGCACTGAGGATACCCCGTGGACAGGGAAGGCCATGTGCAGGACAACCACGAGGTGACCCATTATCCGCAGGTGCCAACTCCAGGGAAGGCTGTGTTCTGAGACCCAGCCGCATCCTCAGGCCGCAGGAGAGCCACTAGACGCTCGTAGACCATCAATAAGCCAGAAAGTACAGACCAAAGAACACTCTGTGTCGTGACGTTCATCTTTGATTCTTTATTGTCCAAAGATGCACCTGAGGCCTCTGATTTACTTTATGTAAATGTAATATGGAGCCAGTTCTCCACCGTTGCTGACTTTCCCAACTGGATCTGAAGTTAAAATAAACCCGTTTTTACTGCAATGTATTGTAGACATATTCTGCGAGGAGGCTGTCTTTAAAGTTTAGTTCCTTCATTTTTTAGAGACTAGAAGGAGAGGGGGTTTTAGGCTGGCTTGACACAGCCGTAGCGACAGGAGGCCATGGAGGACCGCACGTTGACTCTCCATGATGCCATGTCTAATTCCTGGAACCTGTGAATTTGTCACCCTGCATGGAAAAGAGTAGTTAAGTAAATTGCTGATGACACTAAGGATGCTACTGCTGTGGTTTTAACACAGGAGGGTGTCAGGAGTCATAGCAGGGAGACTGCACAGGCCCAAAATAATCCCAGAGCCTGGGACTGTGGGAGGAAGCAGAGGAGCAGCCAAGACGGGAAGGGTCCTGCCTGCCCTTGAGACAGAGCAAACCCAGGGGAAAGCGCAGCAGAGGCAACAATTCTGTTAGCAGTTGACAATTAGCCCAGACATATGCCCACAGAACCTCCTAGAAGACACACGTATCAGCTTCATCAGATCCCCCAGACCATGACTTCCATGTGGAGAAGAAAGAGTAGGGAGGAGGGGCAAGAAGAGCAGGAGCAAAGCTGCCTAAAGGAACAGTTGAGGGGCCTCCCTGGTGACTCAAGGTGTTAAGCACCACACTATGCAGCAATCCCAGCCTCTGCAGCACGAGTTCGACCACCGGCCGGCTAGGGAGCAACCCACATGGTGCAGCAGACCTCTCCTGTCTTGCCCGCCGCTCCCCTCAGCAGTGTATTTCGTCAGTCTGCCTGTTCTGTTCCCCACTCGGCCTCTGGAGAGTCCTCTCACCCCCGCACCTCTGGCCTGTGCTCCAGTTCTTGATGCATAAATAAATAAATGCTTTTTTAGAAAAAGAAAGAAAAGGGGAATGTATTGGCTTACATTATTGGAAAGTCCAGGGCCAAGCCGGGACCACCTTTAGCCAGTGGATTAATCACATGACTGGACCTCGATGTTTCCAGCAAGGAGAGTTTCGGTGGAGGATGAGTGAATCATGTGCCCATGAGGTAGCTGTGCCACTCAAATCACAGTTATGCAAACAACTGCTAAATAAAATTGGGAAAAATTAAGGAAAAAAAAAAAAGCGCCCCAAGGTAGGCCTGCAACAATGAGATAAAAATACCACTACACGGTTGAGCGCTGGGTTGCCAAGCTGCCCGCAGCCTCTGCAGCATCGGTTCGATCCCCGGCCACCGGCCAGGGTCCCACAAGGCGTGCAGACCTCTCCTGCCGCCCGCTGCTCCCCTCAGCAGTGTACTTCGGTCCTTCTGCATGTTCTGCTCCCCGCTCTGGCTCTGGTGAATTCTCTCACCCTCCCGCGCTTCTGACTGTACCCAGTGCTTGTATAAATAAATAAATAAATCTTTCAAAAAAAAAAAAATACCGCTACACACTGATCTTAAGAGAGGAGGGAAAAATCTATCTTTCTTAAGTTCATAAGGTCCATCTCAGAGGACAGGCCCACACGGGAGTCACTGTAGTCAGGTGACCTCTCATTATCCTAGCAGAAAATGGCCAGGAAAGATGGAGCTAAGACACCACCTCCTATTAGACAGAAATACTCAGAAGCAGGGGTGCTCAGCTTTGTTGTGGTTCTGCCCCAAGCTCAGCTTGCACTGTGATTCAGCAGTGTGACATACTTTTGTTTTTCAAAAGATTTTCTTGGTCTCTGAGTCCCGTCAATTCTGCCCAAAAGCCTCATACTCAGAGAGATTGTGATTTCCCTCCAGTACCTGCCAGGTGAGGTGGCCTTTCACAAAAGCTGCTGGCATGGATTTTGACTTCCCTGCAATGGGGTAGATGTCATGGGGAAAAAGTCAGTGCAGGCTGGAGGTGCAGGGGTGAAAGAATTCAGAGACAAGTGTGAAACAGCACAGACTGCTTTAAGGAAATACACTGCTAGGAGGAGTAGCAAGAGACAGGAGAGGTCTGCGGTGCAGAGAGAGGGTCCCGAGCTGGATCTATACTCCAGGCATCCTCGACTGGACAGGGGACTGGTCCCGGGTGTGCCCTGACTCATGAGCAAGTTGGCATAAGGGGTCATGGGCTCTTTGGATCATCAGCTTCATTCCAGGATCCACGGCAGCCCCACCCACCCCTTTGTCCACTCAAGCCTCCCAGCTGACCTGCCGGGCTAGAAATGGGGGCTTAGATTTTTCTTTAAGATTTATTTATTTATTTATACATGCACTAGGTACAGTCAGAAGCGCGGGAGGGTGAGAGAATTCACCAGAGGCAGGGCAGGGAGCAGAGCAGGCAGACTGACGAAGTACACTGCTGAGGGGAGCAGCGGGCGCGGCAGGAAAGGGACCCTCGCCAGTGGCCGGGGATGGAACTGGTGCTGAGAGGCTGCAGGCAGCTTCGCAGCCCAGCACTCAACCGCTACATCACCAGGGAGGCCCAGGGCTTACATTATTAATTCCGTAGAGACACCAGGACAGTAGAGGCCCATGTTTGGCAACAGGTCCTTTTAGGAGGGTCCTGGCATTCACCCCAGGAATCAGCAACACACGCTGCAGGACCAGCCTTTCCGTGCTGCGACCGCTTCCCCTGCAGGAACACAAGCTCCAGCCTGAGCGGCTCCCTGCGATGCAGTTCATCTAAAGGCAGAAGCCAGACGTGACCTGTCCGTTGTGCCTGCTGGGTCGGTCCCTTGGGTGGGACCCGGGTCTGTGGGACATCTCCTCCCAGAGCCTCAGTCTGCAGCTGCGCATCAGAGCTGCAATGATTGTGGTCGGTGAGGGAGATGGCAGAGCAGTGAACTGGCCCTTGTCCCAAGCCCGCTCCCAGCTCCCTCCCCCTCAACAGGGTCACCCTGACACTAGCTGACTATACCCTGCCCCTCGTGGGGTGTGGGCTCCCCTGCTTGGTGAGGTGAGCACACACAGCCCAGTCTCAGTGTCTGAGGCTCAGATGAGACGTGCCTTGGGCACGGGAGGCCTCAGGTAGGGCAGAGGGCAAAGTCACCCTCAAGCACTGGGGACAAGGCAGAGCACCGGTGTCGCCACTCTGAGAATGCTTTGGGTTTTCCTTCCAGCAACGCTCCACCTCTCCCTTCTGTTTCATGCCTCTGAGGACAAACACCCTTTCTGTAACAACAACGCCTTTACTCCAGAAAGCTGCTTTGTGAAGAGGAGACCTTTCACTCCTGTATCGCCTTCTGTCCTCAGAGTTGGGCAGTGACATCGGTTCTCAGGAGTGCACTTGTGTGCGCAGCCCGCTGAGGACACCAGGTCTGAGAGGGGCTTGACGACTATCCTGTCTGCAATCAAAGCAAGGCTGCCTCTAGAGCGCTTCCAGGTCAGGAAGATCCAGGGTCAGTGTGCTGGGGAGGAGGACTCTGACCTCCACATCGAGGAGGGTGGGCCTTGTTGCTCCGCGGGGCTGTGGCATCGGTGCCCGTAGAGGCAGGATTGGGTGATCAAGAGCACATATCAGAGCTCGCAAAAAAGTCCAAAGGGTGTACGGGGGAGGAGGAGGGGCAGGAAAAGAGTTCTGAAAGACAGGAGGGAAACTGATTTTCCTTACTGGAGAGCGTGACATCGGAGGCAGGCAGACACGTCCAATTCCACTCTCTCTCTCACTGCAGCCTGTCTGCGTCTGTCCCCGCGTGGCCATGTGGCTGTACCTGCTGGCCCTCGTGGGCCTGTACTACCTTCTGCGCTGGTACCGGGAGAGGCAGGTGGTGAGCAACCTCTCAGACAAGTATGTCTTCATCACGGGCTGCAGTTCCGGCTTCGGGAACCTGCTGGCCAGGCAGCTGGACCAGCGGGGCTTGAGGGTGCTGGCCTCTTGCCGCGCTGAGAAGGATGCAGAGAAGCTGAGGGCCCTGGCATCAAGCAGGCTGGAGACCGTGCTTCTGGATGTCACCAAGACAGAGAGCATCGCTGCGGCCACCCAGTGGGTGAAGGAGCGCACAGGGCACAGAGGTAGCACCCACTTCCCAAGTCCTTTCTCTCTCTGTGAAGGGGGGCCCCTTTGTCTGCTGCATGGGGGAGATTGCCCACCGGTTTTAATGACTTGAAATTTTCATCTCCTCTCCCTACTAACCAGCTTGAGTCTTTCTTTGTCTACTGTTCCCCAACTCCCCATTTGGGGCTCTGGAATTTTTGGGAGACTTTGGCCTGATGTAGTTGGCAATCCAGAGTTCCTGTCAGGTGTGTGCTCCTCATCCAGCAGAAGTTCTCCATTTCTTGATGATGATTCCCTGCGGGAATCAGAAACTGCTCCTGTGAGGGTGGAGGGGGTGCTGGCCTAGAGCCCTACATGGGGACTGAGACACAATACTGGAGCCAGGAACTTGGCCGGGTGTGACCTTAGCACTCTACGGGATCTTGCTGGTGACAGTGACCATCCCACAGGGAGTGAACACCTCATCTCACAGGACAGCCCTCAGCCCTCAGGACTTCCCAAGGAGCTAACCGGCCTGTGGCCATGCACTGTCCTTGTTTTCCCTCTCCCTTTCCATGGCCCTCTCCTCTCCCCCACACCCATACATGTGCCTACACACTCCCTGCAGAGGCTGCTCAGAAAACCTGACATGCAGGAGGAACCCATCATATCTACAAGGCCTCGCTGGTGTGGATGCCCAGATCATTGGGCCTAAGTGGTGTCCTCCAGCAACTCAGGGGTCCGCTTTTCCCTTCTGCAGGCGGCCTGTTGTCTCTGCCCTACCCTCTCCCCGTGCTGCCTGCCCACGGTCCCCCCTGGATGGAGGGTGAGTGGGGACCACAGCTGGGGACTCCCTCAGGGCACAGCTCAGAGGTGCTCTCTCTCTCCCTCTGTGTCCAGGACTCTGGGGCCTGGTCAATAATGCTGGCATAGCTGATCCCTCGGGCCCGAATGAGTGGCTAAGCAAGGAGGACTTCATGAAGGTCCTGGACGTGAACCTGCTGGGGGTGATCGAGGTGACCCTGAGCCTGCTGCCCCTAGTGAGGAAGGCGAGGGGCCGCGTGGTCAATGTCTCCAGTATCCTGGGCCGCGTGTCCCTTGTTGGAGGGGGCTACTGCATCTCCAAGTTTGGCCTCGAGGCCTTCTCGGACTCCCTCAGGTACCGCATACGCAGAGCCCTCGCTCTGTCCTCCTGTGTCCTGGCTTCCAGGGAGCCTGGTCCTTGGGGTCCATCACAGACTTGGAGACTAGATCCCTGTAGATCCCTCTCTTGCTTTGTCATGTCACTAGTGAGGACCTTTCTCTGTTTGGGGTGTCAGGATGGCTCTAGCTGTCAGGAGTTGATTTCAGCATGTCTCTGAAGTGGACAAGCTCCAAGTCAGAAAGTACCTGAGGCAGAATAGGAACCAGGATGATTTGCCGAGGAGACATGCACGCTGGCCTGTGCGGCTCAGTCTTGGCATGCCCTTCAGTGTGACGCCATAGATGGGGTTCAACACACAACTGTGTGTGTGAAAATCTGACCCTGAGAATGAAGCAAAAGTAGAAATGGTGTGGTCGTGTCCCCTGGGGGTGGGTCAGAGGAGCCATTGCTGCTCTCTGTGCACCTTCAATTATGGGAGGGCACTAGAGGTGGGGTCTGAGTTCGGGCTTGGACGAACGGGGCTTGGAAACCTGGAAACAGGGCAAAGTCAACCAGGAGAGCTTCCCAAATGAAAGAATTTCATCAGTCCAGGCCGAGTGAGTAGTGGCCGACTGCCTGTGCTGGGGGATCCGGGGTATACACTAGGCCTCGCCTGGCTGGAGGATCTGGGCATGGGGAGATGAGGGTCTCTAGAGGAATTGCTCCCTGGCAAGTTGTGCACTTCTGGCTGGTGGCATAGGTCCTATGAAGAGCATTTCATGGAAACTACTTCCTGAAATCAGCAGTAGAGACCCCGCTGGCTGCAGGTGAGTCTGCCTCTGGATGTGGGTGTGTGAGAGGGAAAGCAGAGAAGCTCTCAGGAGACAGCTCAGAGGACTGAGGTCAGAGAGATGCTAGAGCAGGATGGAGGGAGGGGATAGAGGTGTAGGCAAAGATAAAATGGGCAAAGTCTGGAGAGCTATTGGATCTGGGGGTGTAGGGAGAAACAGCTGTAACTGGTGCCATGACGTAGAATAGGCAGGACTGAGAGCTAAGGAACTTGCATCTGGGAAATGTTTGTAAACGTGAACAAACCTTCCATGACAATCCTCCTCTAGGCCTCTGCAGTTTGGCTTTCCCTACGTCTGGAGATACCCCACCAATCCTGTGTTCGGGTGGTTTTGGTTTTGTTTATCTTTTGTGTTTTCTATCCAGTCTCTGACTTGGCCCCTCTGTCTATGAACCTTCAGGAGGGAGCTCTCCTTCTCTGGGGTGAAGGTGGCCGTGATTGAGCCTGGTCACTTCAGGACTCAGATGTCACGTCTTGAAACAGTTACTGGAAACATCCAGAGGACATGGGATCGGGCCAGCCCCGAGATCAAGGAGCTCTATGGGGAGAAGTTCCTGGCATCGTGTGAGTGAGCAAAAGACCATGGAGAGAGGGAAAATCACTGTCTGAACACCTTAATCTGTTATTAGTGTCGTTGACTCTCAATTCCTTGTCCAGGTCTGACTCACCACACACTGGGGACATTTAGGTCCATCCAGTAGATCCATGTGGCCAATTATAACCCAAAAAAAGTATCCAGGCTTGGGAGACCTGGGGACCAGTCTCATTTGGTCTGTCAGTATTTCGGGAGGAAACTGAGAGTCAGAGGGAAGACCCCCAGAGACTCACAGGAGGTGTCTCTAGATCATCCGGGTTCCAGTTCCTTCTGTTTTTGTGTTTATCGTCCCCTCTGCCTTGCACATACACATAATACAGAACATTGAGCTTGAGGGGGCCTAATTTGGGGGGTCTCCTGGGCTATGAGTGGGAAAGCCCTAATGAAATCTCAGACGCAGATTTGGGCATCATTTTGGGGTTTTGGGAATACTTAGAAATTTTTCAATAGAAATGAAGCCCAAAGACAGAAGGCTGGGAATGAGAATATTTGGGCTGGTTTCTTTCTGAACAGACTTGAAATCAGTTGAAATGGTACACTCAAAGTGGAGTCAGAGTCTGGTCATGGTGACGGACTGCATGGAGCACGCCCTGACCGCCTGCCACCCCCGTACCCGATACTCTGCTGGCTGGGACGCCAAGTTCATCTACATCCCTATGAGCTACTTGCCAACCTTTCTGGTGGACGCCATGTTGGCCTGGTTCTCCCCAAAGCCTGTAAAAGAAGCCTGAGGTACTTACTATGTTGAAGTTGCTACTGTGGGAGTTGGGAGTGAGGGGGTTAAAGAGAGGGAGATTTCACGTCACTACGGGAATATATCCCATGTCCTCACCTTTTCTGAGGTTATTGGGGATTTTAGGAGCAAAGAACCAAATTCTATGGCTGAGAGACAGGGGCTTAACACACACACCTGTCCCCTGAGGGACCTCCGAGATCTCAAGCCACATGACCCTGTGTCCCCTGAGCAATCCACACTGGGAAGAGGATGAGCAACTGGAGGGCTCAGCTCCCCCTCCTGTGCATGTCAAGCTCCTCAGTGTGTGCCTTATCTCTGGGCAGACTGGAAACTGATAGCGGTGACCTGCAGAAAGTGAGGGTCCCTCTGCACTAAGATATCCCGTGGACAGGGATGGCCATGTGCAGGACAACCATCAGGTGACCCATTATCTGCAGGTGCCAACTCAAGGGAAGGTTGTGGTCTGAGACTCAACTGCATCCTCAGCCCGCAGGAGAGCCACCTAGACGCTCGTAGACGATCAATAAGCCAGAAAATACAGACAAAGAACACTCTGTGTCGTGATATGCATCTTACGTTTTCGAAAATATGTCAGATTCTTTATTGTCCAAGAAGCACCTGAAGGATTTACTTTATGTGAATGTAATATGGAGCCAGTTCTCCACCAGTGCAGCCTTTTCCCAATTGAATCTGAAGTTAAAATAAACCAGTTATAAAACAGTTTTTCAGCCTCATATTTATAATGAAGAGTCACTGCCTCTGACCATCAATATTGACTGGACTTTACTATGTCACAACAAGAAATGCAGAAATAGTGTTTTCTCCTATGGAGGAAATTATACCCTGAGAAAATATACCTCTACTCGCCTAATATGATATTTTAGTTTGCTTTTTACTGCAATGTATTGCAGATACATTCTGCAGGGAGGCTGTCTTTAAAATGTAGTTCCATCATTCTTTAGAGAATAGAAGGAGAGGGGGGTTTAAGGCTGGCTTGACACAGCCGTTGTGACAGGAGGCCATGGAAGACCAGATGCTGACTCTCCATGATGCCCATGTCTAATCCCTGGAACCTATGAATTTGTTACCCGGCATGGAAAAGAGTTAAGTAAATTGCTGATGACACTAAGGATGCTATTGCTGTGGTTTGATCACAGGAGGGTGTCAGGAGTCATAGCAGGGAGATTGACTGCACAGGCCTAATGTAATCCCAGAGCCTGTGACTGTGGGAGGAAGCAGAAGAGCAGCCAAGACGGGAAGGGTCCCGCCTGCCCTTGAGACAGAGCAAACCCAGGGGAAAGCGCAGCAGAGGCAACAATTCTGTTAGCAGTTGACAATTAGCCCAGACATCCAGCCACAGAACCTCCTAGAAGACACACATATCAGCTTCATCAGATCCCCCAGACCATAATAAATGTGGAGAAGAAAGAGTAAGGAGGAGGAGCAAAGCTGCCTAAAGGAAAACTTGCGGGGCCTCCCTCATGGTGCAGGAGTTAAATCTCAGCACTATGAAGCTATCCGCAGCCACTGCAGCAGGAGTTCCAGCCCCAGCCAGGGAGCTACCCACATGGCACAGCAGACCTCTCCCAGCTGCTCCCCTCAGCAGTGTTGTTCAGTATATCCACCTGTTCTGTACCCCATTCTGTCTCTGGTGAATCCTCTTACACACCCCTCCCCAATCTGGTCTACCCCCCACCTCCTGTATGCATAAATAAATAAAATAAAATCTTTTTAAAAATAAAATAAAATAAGGGTCTCCCTGGTGCCACAAGAAGTTATGACACAGCGTATGAAGCTATCTGCAGCCACTGCAGCAGGAGTTCGATCCCCAGCCAGGGAGCTACCCACATGGCACAGCAGACCTCTCCTGTCTCCCTGCTCCTCCCCTCATCAGTGTGTTTCAGTCAATCTGCCTGTTTGTTCCCTGCTCTGTCTCTGGTGAGTCCTCTCACCCCACCCCCCCCCGCACCTCTCCCTGTAACCCAGTTCTTGTATGCATAAATTAATAAATCTTTTTAAAAATAAATAAATAAAATAAAATGAAGTAAATTTGACCCATGACTTAGTCAAAACACACGTGAGAGATTTCTAAAGAAAACCCAAACTCCCCTGAGTTGGAAACAGAAAATCCTGCCAGCAGTCGAGCAAGTGCAGTGCGTTTGTAGTGGCCAATTCGAGAACTAGGCCTTGGGGCTGCCAGTCTCTGGTGCGTGACCCCAAGATAGGGGCCAAACTAGGATCAAAGTGGTATTGGGAAAAGGGGGTGGCCCATTTGACTTGTTTTCATCTACCTGGTTTTGACCGCAGGACATGATTCAAAGCAGGCACACGTGAAGAAACACAGTAACAAAATTTATTTAGGTAGGGAGTGTGCAAAGGGAGAGGAGAAAGAGAGGTAGGGGGGGAGAGAGAGAGAGAGAGAGGAACCTTAGATATTTACAAGCCCGTGAGGGTCCCACACGGTCTGCCCAACCCCAGACGGTGTCTCTGGCGCAGAAACCAAATTCAAAATGGCAGCCGGCTCCTCAGCAAGGGGACTGGGCCAGGCTGCGTGGAGCATGGCGGCTGCTGAAGCTGAGGGTGCGTGCTAGAACCCACCCTTGGAAGAAGAGGCGGGTCTGCGGACCACAGCGCCCACAGGGCCCGGCATTTCTGACTGGAGGACAGAGGGGCCGTTTGTCCAACTTAGGACAGCCTGCGCCTGGCTATGGCTCTGAGGGAGCAAGGCCGCGTGCTTCGGCTCGTCCATCTTCACGGCCACGCCACTCCTCCCCTCATTCCCTCTGCCCTCACTGAGGAAGTTGGGGTGGTGCGGGGGCTCCACCCTCTCCCGGGGCGGCCTGTGGGTGTGGCTGGCCAGCGAGGCCTCTGGAGCAGAGCACAGAGCGCTCAGGGCACATCTTGCGGGGAAGCTTCGGGAACAAACCAACATGGCGTCATCTGCTGCCTGGGGACGCCCGCGCGCTGGACCGGACCTGGAGGCCAGGTGCAGGGCGCCACCAGGACAGCCCAGCACCACCATATCCTTGGCCTGGAGGAGCTCAGGTGGGGGTGGGGGTCTTCAGTGGGGACCCAGAGGGACCGGACTGGGCGCCCCAAGCCTGGCGCTGCGCCACGCGCTGCTGAGAGGGGAGCGGCCCAGCCCTTGGGCGCGCGTTCACCCCACAGCCCTGCGGGCGCCCCGGGAGCCGCAGCCCAGAGTCTTACAGAAGCACGTCATTTCCTCAGAGATGTTTTGGGAGCCAAACACTAATTTACGTGAAAATCTGTCGAGAAAATAGTTCTTAGCTTAGTCTCAATTTGCTGTGTGTTCTCAGTCATCGCTTTTTGTTGTTTGTTTTTCCCCACAGCACCTTCAGCTTCAGGTGCCGTTCAGCAGGGAGGCCTGTCCTCTGAGAGTGGCAGCTCGCGGCCTAGGAGAGGAGCCTGTATGTCGTCCCCACCTCCCACTCCATGGCCTGTAATTTAAAAAAAAAAAAATGTTTATTGAAGTAGCATGGTGTCATTACACAAGCTGAGGTGCAATGTTATAAGTCACCATCTGTGTGTAACACTCATGTACCACTGAAAGTCCCTTTCTCTCCTTCATCACACAGTTGACCCCCTGACCCATCTGCCAGCCCCGGTAACAACTAGTGGTAACTACTCACTTGGTGTCTGGTGCTCAGTGTGCTCGTCACTCATCTGTCTGGTGTCTCCATGTGCTGCACGCGCAGGAGAGCCTCTGGCCTGTCTCTCTCTGCCTATTTCGCTTTGCCCATGTCCTTTGTCCGCCCATGTGGTTGCAATGGCCCCCTTTTCCTGACGCTGGGCGTTGGAGCCCAGGGGAGCGCTGTCTGGGCCAGCAGTCAGCAGAGATACCCAAGAAAGGACGAGTTAAACCCAGGTCATTCTAGTCCAGGTCTCGAGACAACCCCTGATTGTTCCTGCCCCAAGGACCGGGATCCCCCTGGCCTGCCTGGCGATGTTGTCTGATGTCTCCCAGCCAAGACTTCCCTGCTCACTCCCCCAGGAGGTGGACTCTTTGGGAGATGCCTTCCCGACCCAGCATAGGAGGTGCTGTGCCTTGGGGTGGGTGCAGTTGTCTCCACCTCTTCCCACCACCATCCCTTACAGGCTTGGGGTCTACTCCCCAGGGCTAGGACCATGATCTAAGCCCACTCCTGCCGCCCTTGGTGTACAAGGGCTAAGCTCTGCCACTCTTGCCCAAGGCAACACCTGCTTTGGCTGAGTATGGAGATGACCAAGCCTGGCGATAGCACAATGTAGAGATTTATCCTTGGTCCCTTTGTGCGAAACGCTGGCCCACTGTCTGATGGCACAGAAGCCACCAGTTTTTGTGAAAAGAACCAGTTTAATGCTAGGTCACCTTCAGGAGACTGGAGGCAAGGCTCTAATCAAAGACAGGGCCTTGGGCAATATTGACCGTGTCCAGGGGTTAAGGAACAAAGAAAGTATTTTCTAAATGCAAGCTGATCGTCTGACTGGCTGCTTTCTGCTCCTTTGGCACAACTCCAGTTTGCATCCAGAATGAGAACAAAGGGGAGCACCCCACGCCTCTGAATGGTGTCCATCTGACCACGACCAGGGGACCTTAATTCCATCTTGCATGGTCAGTTTGGGTCTGGCCAATGAGGGGTCACCTCGAGGACAGCAAACTCTCCTGAGGCTGCTCTCTGAAACACAGCTGATTTATAGGAAATCTGTCTTTCCTTCCTTTAAAGGGGGTGAGGGCTTTTTTGTCCCGTTGTTTCACTCTCCAGAGCCTACCCTGCTGTTCTTGTGAGACAGGCAGAAATAGGAAAAGATCACCAAGGCCACCACAGTTCTGCCTTTACCATCGGCAACTATGTGCCCCTTTTCTGTCAGATCCTCTAGACGGGGAGGGAGGGTGGTGGCCCTGGGCCCAGGTCCCTCAGAATGAGCTGATGACCAGCCTCATCCTGGAGGGTATCCGAGAGCCCCGTGGACTCCAGCACCATCTCTCCCTGCATGTGGTGCAGCCCGAGGCGCGGCCCTCTCCACTCACTTCCCTATCTCATGACCTTATTTCCTTTCCCAACTTCCAGCTCGCCTTCAGAGAGTCTTTGCCCCGTCGCCTGGAATCTCTCCGGTCCTCCAGGCCCTGACCCTGAACATTTTCCACGTCTCTGCTCCCCAGTCCTCTGCTCCTCCTACATCTCATCCCCTCTCAGGATCAAGGACTTGACCCCAGGCCTTTTCTTTTCTTTTTTTTTTTTTTTAATAGAGGCATGTTTTATTTATTTATTTATTTGTTTGTTTGTTTGTTTGTTTGTTTATACATGCACTGGGTACAGTCAGAAGCGCGGGAGGGTGAGAGAATTCACCAGAGCCAGAGCGGGGAGCAGAGCAGGCAGAAGGACCGAAGCACACCGCTGAGGGGAGCAGCGGGCGGCAGGAGAGGTCTGTGCGCCATGTGGGACCCTCCTCCGGTGGCCGGGGAGCAGCTGGGGATTGAACCGGCGCCGCAGAGGCCGCGGGCAGCTTCGCAACCCAGCGCTCAACCGCTGCGCCACCGGGGAGGCCCAACCCCAGGCCTTTTCTGCAGGTGCCCAAGGACCTCATGACCCATCCTGGCTGAACCTCAGTCTCAGCGATGTTCAGATCTGAACTCTCTAGTCTCCTGCCTCCTGGCTTCTTTTGCTACCTGGGCACCTAGCTGCCATCAACTCCGTGACTTAGACTCACTGCCTCCTGACCTCTCTCTCCACTGCAGACCCAATTAGCTACTGTGTCGTTTGACCTAATCGTCCCTCCCTACCACTGTCACCACTATCCTCAGCTACCAGACCACCAGGTCCTAGTGGTAGAAGAAAAGGGCACTTAGTTTTCTGTCGGGGGAATTGCTGTGTCTTCAGTCCTTGCCTCTCACCATTTGCCTGGTCACTGTATGAAAGGGAGAGCTGGGCCTGCATGGAGCACAGTGAAAGCTCCTGACGTAATCTAGTATCACCCCAAGGACCCTGAGCCCCTTAGGTCTTTCTTCTTTGTGAGAGTTGAGATCTCACATCACTAGCCTCCCTCAGCAGGTGGCCCTGCTGTCTCTGACCTCAGGACAATGGAGGCACATCACCCCAGGGTGGGGGAAACCTTTTGTTTTTTCTATCCCTCTTCATGGAAACTCACCCAAGGGAGTGATAACCTGGAACTCATTTCTGTTAGGACTGGGTGGGCACAAAACCAGTCTTTGTTTGTGTCACATTCATGGATTTGTTTCCCTAGATACAAAAATCACATGTGCTTACATGCTCACACTCATGACAATAGTTTTGATGCCCAGGTTGGAGATGGGGAGTTGGGGAGCCAAGAGGCAGTGGGGGGGACTCTCTGGGCCAAGTTCTCCTTTCTCATTTGCCCCGTTCAGGCCACCTAAGTGAGCACCACTCAGCACCAGCTTCACCACCCGAGTCTTTCCCATTCCAAGCACCTTCATCCCTCAGGACTGCAGGAGAGAGAAAGAGACAGTCACCAGGGCTGTCCGAGGTGACAAAGCTTCAGGTTGGACTTGAATTTCTTGCATCTAGGCTAATTGGTATGGTGCTGCATCCACCTATAAAAATTAGAGTGGCTCACCCAGGGGCCTCTTGTGTTGCCAGCAGTGGAACTGGCTCATCTTCCTAGCCAGTTCCACAGACCGGGGTTCAGAAGACCAGCTTCTCCCGCTGTCTTCTTGGCCATCACTTCCCCCTGCCCCATGGCGGCCATCACGGATCTCTCCTTTATGTACCGCTGGTTTAAGAACTGCAATGTGGTGCGTAATCTCAAGGACAAGTATGTCTTCATCACGGGTTGTGACTCGGGCTTCGGGAAACTGCTGGCCAGGCAGCTGGTTGATCGGGGTATGCGGGTGCTGGCTGCATGCTTCACTGAGGAAGGGGCTCAGAAGCTTCAGCAGGAGACCTCCTACCAGCTGCAGACCATCCTATTGGATGTCACCAAGAGCGAGAGCGTCCAGGCGGCCACCCAGTGGGTGAGAGACCAAGTGGGCGAGCAAGGTGGGGCAAATTGCATTTTTTTGGCTTTCTCTGTCTATCTTATTTGTTTCTCTTTCTCCCACAGTCATCTGACATGAGGAGCCCTGTTGCTCAGATGGGCAGGAGAGTTTGTGCAGACAAGTGGGACCAGGGCTCTGGCTAAGTGGGATTGGAAATGATTGCATGACTTGACCTTGTCACAGGAAGGAGGAATTTCCCAAGGAACTTGGAAAACTCTGAGGGTGGGCGGAGGGTTTTCCTTCGGACGCGGAACAGGAAAGAGATAGTCTATATGTCTTTAAAGACGAGGTTGCCCTCTTGGGATGTCAGTGATCCTAACTATCAGCTGCTTAGAAATGTGAGCACATTTTTTGGCAGATCAGGCTGTGGGGAGGGACAAGGGAATATGAGGTTGGAGCCCCTGACTGGGAGCATTTGCTCTCCTTGACTGTGTCAGGCTAGCAGGCACCGGAGAAAGATCTAGTCTCTTCCTTCATGGCAGCTATGGGCTTGACCACAGGAAGTGTCTGTCAGATGGGCAGCTCCTATTGGGAAAGAAGGCTGTGGGTTGGGGCTGAAGCAGCAGGGTGGAGGCCTATTCTGGGAACTTCCTGCATGCAGGGTGTGGGTGCAGGAATGGGATGAACAGGATGACTCTGTTGTAGAAGCAGCAGCCTGGGGGAAGTCCACATAGGCAAGGACAATCTGGGGCCCACCCACATAGGCAAGGACAGAAGAGTCCTGGGACCCCAGAGGTGCCAGCAGAAACCCCCTGCTTTATTTTTCCTTTAGCATGTGTCACTATCCAATATACAACTTTATTGATTATTCTTATTTATTGTGATTTCCCGGCTAGAAAAAGCTTCAGGGATGGGGATAGCGATAGTGTTGGGCAGGGTTTTTAGTCTCTCTTTCTTTTTATTTTTTATTGCATATCCTTAGTACCTAGAACAGTGTCTGGTGTCTAGTAAGGTGCTCCACAAATATTTGTTGAATGAACTAATTAATAAATTACTCAGAAAAGTGACTCTCTTTCTTCTGAGCTAACACAACACCCTACATTGAGCCTTGAACCATTTGTGTTAATGGTTTACTGTGTATATTCATTTCCCATTGGTACTATAATCAATGAAATCAACCTTAGTAGCTTTAAACAACACAAATTTACTATCTTGTAGTTCTGGAGGTCAGTGGAATGGGTTTCACTAAAATCAAAGTGCAGACAGAGCTGTGTTTCTCCTGGAGGCTCTAAGGAAGTTGTTCCATTGCCTTTCCCAGCTTCTAAAGGCTGTCTGCCTTCCTTGGCTCATGACTCCTCCTGTCTTCAAGGCCAGCAAAGTGGGGCCAAGTCCTTTTCACACTGCTATCTTGCCTGCCTCTTCTACTCAGAAGGATCCTTGTGATTCAATTGGGCTCACCAGACTAATCCAAGATAATCTCCCCATGTTAAGATCAGTTGAGTAGCAACTTGAAATCCATCTGCTAACTTAATTCTTCTATTCCATATAAAGCACTAAATTCACAGGTTCCAGAAATTAATGCAGAGACATCATGGGGGTGGGCGGCATTATTTTGTCTACCCCATTGGGCAACGTCCTTTGTCAAAGAAGCACTAAGATATGGGAGCAAAGGTGTTCTTGCATTTAAGATTCCTTGTAGCTCCTGAGCCTCAGGACATGGCAGGTGGGCACAGCGTTAAGGCTGTCAGCATTGCTCTGACAGTTCTCTAGTTGCTTTTTGCAAAAAAGAATATTAAGGTTGTCCTGTTCCCCAGCAGGCAGAGCAGTTTACCAGGGGCCATGGGCAGTAGTGGTGAGTGTGTCTCTTCTCCACAGGCAGAGAACACCTGGGTTTTTACAGCCCTTGGCTCTCAGGACCCCCATTTCTTCCTCTGTAAAAGCAGAGGGAACTTTCCAACTGGGCAGGTTCTGAGTCCTGCCAGACAGTTGGCCTCCTGGGGTCTCTCTCATTGATGAAGGCAAGAAGATAGAGTGGGGCACTGGTTGTGTGGGGGTCCTGGGACTTGAGGGAGGGGTAGACTATGGGTAGTGTTTACCTCCAGATCGGTTTCCTGGGCAGAGTGAAAAGCGTGTCTCGGAGGAGCATCTTGAGGCTTCAGATGGGGAAGGGGAGGGAAGGAGCCAGCGCAGTGGGGCTCATGGAATCCCCAAGGGAACAGCTGGAAGTTATCTTTGGGGATCATTTAAATCCCAACATGTTTTAGTATCAAACACCCTCTCCCAAGTGGAATTTTGCTTGCAGGGTCAATATGTCAAACAAATAGCAGCAGAGCTTCCTCTGTATTTACCTCCTTTAATGGGTTCTGGGGTTCAGCCTAGAAAGTTTCAAGATTCCAAGCTATAGGTGCAATCGACAAAGAACCTGAGATCCAGAGAAAGAAAGCAACTTGTCCGAGGCTGGAGGCAGAACCAGGATTAGAAAGAGGTCTGGGTCCTGCAGAGTTCTGTCCATTTCTACCAACGCAATTTAAATATTTCAGTGAAAGCCTGATCACATTTTCCATAATTATTTTATTTTACTGTCTTATATTTTCCTTTATCAATATGATTCATTTCCACTCTGGTTTGTACATTTAAAAGATGAGACTCTGACTTGTTCATTTACGTCTCTGGCATCTCCCTGTGTGACTCACACAGAACAGATGCAAGAATGAAGGGGTGAAGTGTGAATGGATGAGTGCATGAGGCACTGGCTTTGGTAATGTGTGCAATGAGTTAGTTTCTTACACTTCGGTGAGTAGAAAGGGGGTGGCAGAATGGAGGATTAATTTATTTGTGCAAAAATGGTATCTCTCTTCTCAGAGCTAATTCCCTAGGTCCTGTGACCTACCGCCTGCCTTGTTGCTGGTCCAGGACCAAGCTAGCTGGCAGACTATGTGAATCAGAGAAATTGCCCCTTTAGGGAAAACAAATTAGTTTACTAAACACACATCTTCCTTCAAGCTATAATGGCTCCCCACCCCATATACCAAGCCTGAACATCTTATGCCTTGGGCACCAGCTCAATCATTCTTGGCACCCCTCAGCTGGCAGGCAGTGGACCTGGTGCTTTACCAGACACTGCTGATTTCTGTGCGGCTTTCTCATTCTCTCCCTGTCTTGCCCCCAGGCCTCTGGGCCCTAGTGAATAATGCCGGTGTGGGCCTGCCCAGTGGTCCCAACGAGTGGCTGACCAAGGAGGACTTTGTGAAGGTGATCAACGTCAACCTGGTGGGGCTGATTGATGTAACCCTCCACATGCTACCCATGGTCAAGAAGGCCCGGGGCAGAGTCGTCAACATGTCCAGCTCTGGCGGTATTGTGGCTGCCATAGGTGGTGGCTACTGCGTCTCCAAGTTTGGTGTTGAGGCCTTCTCTGACAGCATCAGGTAACTGGATCCTGCCACCAAACCACTCAGGATGGAAGATCCTCAGGGTCTCACCTCAAGAAGGGGTGGGGGGTGAGTCAGCAAGTGAGCAGGGGAGTTCCAGAAGCTCAAACAGTAGCAGAAGGAAGGCTAGATCTCCGGGGCCTTCCCAGGAGCCAGGAGAAGGACAGGAATGGGGTGATATTAGGAGGCTCTCTTCCGGCCTTCCCTTGGACAGTTCCAGAATAGCAAAACTCTGTTTGGGCCTATGGGAATAGGAGGGAGACACCACCAAACAAAGAGTCCTGGGAGTGAAGGTGTTCCCAGAAGACCCTGCGAGGAGACGCAGGCCTTGCCTAGACCTCCTCATTCTCTTTGACAGTGGGTATTGGGTGAGGAGGGGACTGGCTGGAGCAGGAGGCAGGATGTGGGTGTAGATCTCTACTGACCTCCTCTTGGCTGCCCCTGCCTAACGTAAATTGTCCAGAGATCAGGCTCAGAGAAGAGCTGTGGCCCTGAACAAGGCATATTTGCATGAAGGCCATGCCTGATGTGGTGTGTGTGTTGGGGTGGAGGGACGTGTGGGCTGGTCCCTGCAGAGATAGAGTCCATTAGTCCCTGAGGACACCTTGTCACCCGGGGACCCTAGACTGAGTGCAGCTCTTCTTGCCCAGGCGTGAGCTCCACTACTTTGGGGTGAAGGTGAGCATCATCGAGCCTGGGAACTACCGGACAGCCATTCTGGGCAACAACGGCTTGGAGACCAACTTGCGAAAGCTGTGGGAGCGCCTGCCCCAGGAGACCCGGGACAGCTATGGAGAGGAGTACTTCATCACCTGTGAGTTCCCTGGCGCGACACGGGTCTCCAAGAGGGACAGGGAGCCCTTGGGGGTCACGGGCCAGCCTTCGCCTTCCAGATGATAGGATAGAGTTTCACAGGGGTCATGCGCCCAAGGCTGTGTAACTTGTGGCAGAGCTGGGGGTTGAGAATAGAGACCATGTGGGCATCTGCTGGGAGTGGCAGGTTCATAGCTGCTAGGGAGGTGGGGGGTTAGGAGAGATTCTGCCCACTCTTGAGACCTGCCCCTGTAAGCATTACCACCAGCTGAAATACACTGAAGCAAGTACAAAGGGGCCATTAAGAGCACAGCTGCTTGAGCCAGATGCCCGAGTTGGTGCCCCGGCTCTGCCACCCACCACCTAGGAGACTGCGGGCATGTTTCCTAGTTGCTTTTGCCTTGGTTTTCTCTTAAATGAATCGATGATAGCACCTCCCTCACAGGGCCTTACTCTCTGTGAAGTCTCTTGCACATGCTGGGTGCTTGTTCAGTGGAGAGGAACAGGAGCACATGAGGGTTTAAATGGAAGGGGCACGAGGCAGCTCCCCCTCTATCCTCAAGCTAGGGGTCTCTTGTGAGCAAGGGTAGAGGAGGGACATCACAGCTTTACTATACTGCCCCCCAAATTTTGCACAGTTCTTCTAGTTTGAGCAATGGCTGGGGCCCTGGCCATTGGGGAATAAAAGCAGGGAGTGGGAGGTGAGACAGCAGAGGAGATACTGGCCAGAAGAGCTGGGGAGCGCCTGCAGGAGGAGAAAGCCACTTGGAGGAGCAGAAGGCCCCACATCTGCTCAGAGAGTCTAATCTCAAAGCTGAGCTGGCTGGTTGCAGAAGAGGATGGCCCATGAGCCTTCCTAATTCTCTCCATTTCTGCCCCAGGGCCCAGGCAAGCAGCCCCTCGGAGCCAGCCAGGGCGGCTGCAGTGACTCTGAGCCACTGCAGCGCCCAGGGTGTGCCAGAAACTGGCAAATTGGCCGGCCCCTCCTTGCAGGCGCGTCACTTCTCTAGTAGCTTCCCTGTGACCTGATCACCAGTTCAAAAGGCGAGGATGACACTTTGCTGGGAGGTTCCTAAGGACAGAGGAAAGCAGCCAGGCTCTCAGCCCCATTCTTGCTCCCTTGGGACCTCGGCGGCCTAGTTCCACTTTTCCCTGACTCAGATTTGCTTTTTCCTTTTACTTGACTTTCATGAAACAGCTCCCAAGAGGCAATTTACCGCTGCCTACAGAGCTCTTAGATGCTGGAACCAGGGCTGAGGACAAACTTCAGCTCTCCTACTTGCCGGGGGCAATTTACTCAGTTTTCTCATCTGTAATGAATTATGAGACTTAAATGAGCTAGCCTATATAAAGTGCTTAGAATATGACCTCGTCCCCAGTAAGAACAATTATTTAGAAGTTTATTGCTTCTAGCCTCCTTAGACTGAGCATGACCTCCTTCCCCCTCTACACTGGTGCTAAGATTATAAGCACTTGTATTCCAAAGAGAGACTCTTAGATAGTAATTATCCCAAATCCAAAGTGATGAATTTTTGAAATATACCCAGATATTCTGCATGGGTTAAATGTAGTCACTGAATCAGCTATCCCTACTGTCATACTCTCCTGTCCAGGAGATGTATGATGCTTGATGTTCAGCTCAACTAGTGTTTGTTGGGATTCAGAGAGGAGACTAAGTTGCTGGGAATCCAGCAGCAGAAATCTGAAAACAAAACACCACACAGAGAATTGTGCACCAACACACGTGTGTGTGAAGCAAAGCCACAGCACACAGAGGTGATGAGGGTGCCCTGGTGAGTTTAGGAAAATGAATAGGAGCCCCTCAAAGGGGGAAGGTGGTGGGCATTTCCCACGGAGGGAGGAGCTTGAGCACCAGCTTAGAGACCGGACACAGTGCTGGACACCTTTGGAGACAGTGTGGGTTGGGGTTTAGGTGACAGACATCCCTCTAACCATGGGACACAAGTCCCTAAACTTCAATTTCTTCACTGTAAAGCATGACTTCTCTCTGACGAGTTGTTAGGAAAATTAAACAAGAATGAAAGTACTCAGCTCAGTCAAATAATAGGGTCTCAACAGACCCTTCACCATCATTTTACTTCTAGTCTAACCCGGTGCCATGTGAGCAGGTCCTGGCAGGGAATGAAACTGGGAGTCAGATCTCGAAAGGCTTTGATGACTCTGCTAAGGAGTGCGACTCTTAAGCAGAAGGCATTGAAGAGCCTATCAAATGACTTTGGTCAGATTTGTGTGGCTGGGAAGCTGAGAAGTTATTGCAGATTCCAGTGAAGGAATGACATTAGAAGTCGTGGTGCGTGCGTGCGTGCGTGTGTGTGTGTGTGTGTGTGTGTGTGTGTGTGTGTACAGGGAGGGAGGAACTGTGACAACAAACTAAGGAAATTTTAGGCATGGTTATATAGCATCACTGGACACAAATTCCAGCGCAGGCTTGAGGCCAGCCAAACAAGCCCCTGGCTTGTGAATGCCAGGACCAGGTCAATTACCTTGATGATTTTTAATTATACCCAAAATAGAACATATTGGAAATGGCTAATTAATAGCAACCTAATATGGGCACAGTTCCAAAGAAGGAGCGCAAAGGACCCCTAGCACTGGCACACGAAGAGAATATTTTTGTCTTAACAGGCCTGGCAGTGAGCCACAGCCTGGCTTGCTTAGCACTGTTCAGGGGCAACGCAGCCATCTGTCAGTTTACTTGCTCCTCTCAGCCCTGCTGGGGAGGCCACCACAAATCCCCCACTTTGATTCTCTTTCTTCCTGGGGAGGGGTTAGGACAAAGGCCCAGGACTTCCCTCTGGTAAGGGAGAAGGGAGCAGAAACTCAACCGCCGGGGCCATACTGTCAAAGCCTGGTCCCTGCTACGTTATAGACGATCTTGCTTAATTCCCTCACTGTGACTCAAGTGTCTCCTAATGGCCTAAATCCCTGTCTTCTTCTTCCCTGTCTAGGAGAGTGACAGGGATTAAATGAGTATTCACGTCTCCCTTTCCACTCCATGTCTAGCAAGGTGTTGGTTACAAATTAGGAGCTCAAGAAATATTTGAAAGAGCAGGAAGGAATGTGCCTGGTGCACTTCCTGTGTCTCAGGTTGCTTCTTCCACCCTCACTGCCTCTGCAGCTGCTCCTCACCTTTCAGAACCTCATTCCACAACCGTCTCATCACATCCGCTGGCCTCACCCTGGTCAGCCCACACAGGTTTCCCTGGCTCCGAGGGAGCACGCCTGGCCCTGAGCACCTCGAGTGAGTCTCTTGACACTAGCTTCCCTGCCTGGGATCTGCTGATGAGGTGTTCTGAGCCAGGCCCAACCGTGGAGGACAGGCTGCTGCTTCCTAGGACATGATACTGCTCAGTGGACAGTCTAGCTTTAAGTTAGTGTGGCTCTTCTGGGGACCCCAAATGTGGTATGGCTCTTCTGGGGACCCCAAATGTAGTATTCTTTTTTTACCTTTCTTCCTCCCTCCCTTCTTTTCTTCTTTCCTTTTAGTTAAAAAAGTTATACTGATCCTTCATCCAGTTAGTGTGACAAAAGTATTTCAAAGCACTCACGCTTTAGAATCAGATCTTCTTGCTACAATACTAATAAATGTTCGGGGCAGATATTTAAGAAACAGAAATGAAGAAAGTATAAATCCCACCCAACCCCACCACCACTCATGGACCTGATGGCCTGAGTGCTCAGGATTATCTGCAGTCCGCCACTGTTTACTTGATGGGAGAGGATCCGCTCCCGCCCCTGGGAAACCTGGCATCAAGGCCCCGGAAGAGGGGGTGCTCAGCTCACTGGCTTCCGCCGCGTGGCTCTGCCTAAGAGTTCAGCGCTGAAGACTTGCTGCCCAGGAGCTCTCGCTGTGCCCTCTTTCGCCAGGGACCCACCCTAGCCTGTAGCACTCTCCACTCGTGAGGCTCTGACCTTGTGTCCAGAACATCGAAGTGGGACATTGGCTGCGTCTTTCCTTCTGGTCCAGGGCCAATGACGACGGCTAGTCCTCTGGAGCAAGTCCTAGTTTTGATTTCATTTTGATTATCTGGTGGCCCTGTATCCTCATCAGCTGGCCCTCAGGCTTGTTCTTTAAAGGTTCCTTTAAGTTCTGGATCTGGAACCCATCTCTAAAATCCTTCACATAAATTTTTTATTGTATTTTTTTTCAAGGTAACGCTGTGCATAGTTTTTTTTCCAGGAAACAGAAAGGGGAGTCCTCTGAGTGGAGGCTGAAGGGTACTTACACAACTGTCCTGTTCTCATCAACTGCCCACCAGTGTCCTCTGCAGAGCAGGCAAATTCCCCACCCTAGACCATCCCCAGAGTTGACTCAAGTTTTAATCCCTTGGCAAAGCGTCTGATTCTAGGGCACCCTTTCTCCCACAGCTCCTGGCACTCTCATTGAAATCTGAGTAACACTGACCTTCCCTGTCCCAGGGTGCCGAGGCTGCAGGCCGGGGCCCATTGTAACATGTGTCTTGTCTCTTATTTGCATTGTGAGCTTTGACAGACTTGGGCTACTCAAGTGCCTCGTACCCATCTCCATGCTCATGTGTGTGATGCCCAGCGGAATAGCCCCTCGTGTTTGTCAGAGCCTTGTCAGTGACCTGGCTGTGCCATAGGTCACTGGAGCTCCACAATGGCCTTGGCACACAGGCAAGGGCAGTGTTACTATTTTTAATAACATTTTCCTCCTGCATGCTTTTGTAGAAAACTGGAAAACCCTAAGAAATACACAGGTGGGAAAAATGCCTCCAGTGACTAGGAATCACACAGGGAGACAGTATTTTTACTAATTTCCTCCTAATTTTTCTATGTGTTGAAGTCCATTTATTTCCTATCCTGTCCTCCCCCCCAGTTTATCCTGCTATTATCCATGTTTACTGTTCTCAAAGGCAGGCATTATTATCCCCATTTTATAGATGACGAAAATTTAAGCTCAAGGTCACTAGTAAGTGGCATAAGTGGGCACAGTTCTTCTCATGGCTAGCCTAATGCAATAGCAGGAATCCAGTGCATGCTTGTTTAATTCAGGAAGAGAAATAAAATCCTTTTTAGGGAGCTTGTGTGAGGACTTCCTGGACGGTGTGGTAGATCTGGAAGGTCTGAAATGTTAGATCAGGGATCTGATGGAAATGGAGCCTGGAAGGAATTCAGAAGAAGTCATCTTTTATGAAGAATCATTGAGCTTTTTCCCCCTTCTTGTGCCCTCAGATACGGAGAGGTTAACAAACACGATGCGGTTGGCAGATCCAAGGATCAGTGATGTCACCAATAGCATGGAGCACGCCATTGTTTCCCGGACCCCCCGCATCCGCTACAACCCTGGCTTGGACGCCAAACTCCTCTACCTCCCCTTGTCTAAGCTGCCCACCTCTGTGACAGATTTCATCCTGAGCCGGTACCTTCCAAGGCCAGCAGACAGCGTCTGAGTTGGGGAAGCCAAAGGGCAGTCAGTGGAAGGTGAAAGACCGCTGCGGGACAAGGGACTATGGGGACATGAGAGGGAGCATCAGATGATCTAGGGGACCTGACGTGGCTGCCATCCACTGCTGATGAATTTACTGGTAGCTTCGGACAGAAGATGAATGCCTCTTCCCACCACTGGAGCCCCACAGAAACCTGGCATGGCCTTTTCAGGTTCAAAGAACTGCAGCATGGCCCCAAGAACATCTGGCATCCATCCGAATATGGCTTTTTCTGGTGCTTTGCTTTTCCAGGAGAAGAACACTAGCTCCTGCTGAATCATGAGCCTCTCTGTTATCATTGCCGCTGGGAATTATTGTGGGATAATCTAACCCACAGAGAAGCCCAGGCTCTTTCCAGCTGGGTCTCTAAATATGCATTAGCCTTCAAATAATCCATTATTTGAAGCATGTAGTAGGCCAGTTGGGGGGTGCAAGATCAAATCAGGTAAAAGTTTGTGATATTTTCTCTTTCTTTAGATTTCTCTGTCCATAGGTGATTGGGAGCATGAAATAACATCCATTTATTTAATCATCATTGACTAATTCATCAAAAATTTTTTGAGTTTCGACTACACACCAGACATTGTGTAGGTGCTGGAAGAATATAAAGAAGATTAAATCATGATCTTGGGGTTTTTTTTATTGTTTATGTTGTGTTTTTGTTCTAGCACAATATCTAGTCACAGAGATAGAATAGTGATAAAAGAATCAGAAATCAGAAAATGAAATTTTTAGAGCCATGGGAATCCTAGCGGTCATCTAATCCAGTAGTTTCCAAACTTGACTATACATCATAATCACCCAGTTAATTAAAAATCCAGATTCCCAGGTCCCAACGTTAGAAACTCTGATTCAGGAGGCATGGACGGGGTCCAGAAATCTGTATCTATAACAAAGACCTACATGAGTCTGATGCACGTGCGCACTTGGGAAACACTAGTAGTAGTACATAGAAGTAACTAGAAATATTCAGAGAAGGGAGTAAACTCTCCAGGGCCTCCCAGCACAGTAGGCAAGACGGAACTCAATGTTCAGATTTTCAGGCTAGGGTTTTAGTTGTAGGAGAGTAAGTTTCTGAAATGAGTGACAATCTCAAAGAAATCATTCAACTAAAAATTTTTGAAAGGATTTACATTTCTGAGCCATATGAAGTTCTACCGAAAGACTCTTTTGATCTTGAAGGATGGCATGCAGTAAGTCAAATGTGCATTGTTTATTAAAATATTTAATTTGTGTCTCTTCAACATCTAGCTGAACTTAAAAATAATGAAATGTAATTTAATTACATCTACAAGACTCTTTCAAATAATGTAACATTCATAGATTCCAAGCATTAGGATATGGACATATCGTTTGGAAGGCCACCATACAACCCACTAAATGTGTTATTTGCAGCACTTCTGTTCCTGGCACCAAATTCTGTATCAAGTAGGATGCAGTGAACTACAAGCAACAGAAACTCTAACGCACATTGGCTTAAACAATGAAGAGTTAGGGCAGGGCCCCCTGGCTGAATGATGACATCAAGGATTTGCATCCTTTCTACATCTTGGCTCTGCCACTCATAGTGTTGACTTTACCCTAAATTTAAAAATAAATTTGAATAATAATAATAATACCTCTATTGTTGTGGTGTGACTGCCAGGGGCAATAGGAACTCCGTGCTTCCTCATTCACAACTTATAAGAGAAAAACAAAGCCAGTTGTTCTATGGCACTAGCCAATCTTTGTTGAAGGGGACTTGGGTGGCCTTGAGTTGGCAATTATAAACAGTGCTGCTGTGTACATAGATGTAGACAGTTCTTTTGGTGTTGAATTTTCACACCTAATAATGGTATTGCTGGGTCAAACAAGATTTCCATTTTTATTTCTTAAAACATCACCATACCGTTTTTCACAGGGCCTATATCAGCTAGAATTCCCACCAACAGTGGCTGAGAGCTCCTCTTCCACTGCAACCTCGCAAACATTTGTTAATTCCATTCTTTTTTATACATGCCATTCTCACAGGGGTGAAGGGGTAACTGCGTGGTTTTAATTTACATTTCTCTTATAGTAAGTGATGTTGAACAATTTTTCCTAAGTCTATAGGCCATCTGATATTGTCTGTAGGTTTGTTATATACAGCTTAGATAATATTTAGATAAGTTCCATTTATTCCCTTTTTTTTTGGAGGATCTTTATCATAAATGGATGTTGGATCTGGTCAAATGCTTTTTGGGATCTATTGAGATGATCATGTGATTTTTGTCCTCATTTTTGTTGATCTGATGGGTGACATTGATTGATTTATATATGTTGAACCAGCCTTCCATCCCTTGGATGAAGCCTACTTGATTGTATGGATGATTCTCTTGATATGGTGCTGTATTCAGTTTGCTAGAATTTGGTTAAAATTTTTGCGTGAACATTCAACAGAGACATTGGTCTGTAGTTTTCTCTTTTTTTGCACTGTCTTTGTTTGCTTTTGAGATCAGGGTAATGTCCTCACAGAATGTATTAGAGTTATTTCCTCCCTCTTCATTTTTTTTTTACAAGGGCTGGGGTACAGGCCAGAGGTGTGGGGGGTGAGAGGATTCACCAGAGACAGAGTGGGGAGTAGAACAGGCAGACTGACTGAAATACACTGCTGAGGGGAGCAGCGGTCGAGACAGGAGAGGTCTGTTGTGCCATGTGGGTTGCTCCCTGGCCGGCCGGGAATCGAACTTGTGCTGCAAAGGCTGTGGACCGCTTCATAGGTTGCCTCTTAACCCCTTGCGCCACCAGGGAGGCCCCCCTCTTCAACTTTTTGAAGAATAAGTAGGATAGGTGTTAGATCTTCTTTATAGGTTTGGTAGAATTCACTGGTAAAGACATCTGGTCCTGAGCTCTTGTTCTTGGGGAAGCTTTTTATTACTCTGCGTGTGTAGCGGGTGCACATGTGCCCACTTACCATTATGGCTGCCCATAATGACTGTCACTGCTCTGCCCTTGCTCAGCAACAGCTTCTGCAGGGCTGGGAAGTCTATGCACCATTGGTTTGCCTCCCCAGAAGATTGTGAGTTCGCTCTGAAGTTCTTCTTTCTGGTGTGGAGCTTTTTATAGCACCTGGCCTGACTCTATCTGGCTTTTCTTTAATCTCTTCTGGGAGGAGTCAGGGAGAGAGCCTTCAGTGGACACACCACCCCAGTTGCATAGCTACGAATTTCCCCGGTCAGAGTCTGTTGAACTCCCACTGCCCCATGTTGGGTCCAGGCCCACTGTCATGTCAGGAAAATTCCTCCAAGGAAATTTGCAATGACCTGGGTTTCCCTTGTTGTGGCTTGGGGAGTTGGTTCCCCAGCCCAGACAGGGTCTCCCTTGCCTCCTCCTATTCTTTCTGGTCAGCAGCCACCAACCTTAGTTCTTGAACTCCCTGGGGATGTCCTGGAGCTGTGTAGCTGGCTCGAAGCATCTGGATTTTTTGTAGGAGCATATATCAGTGTTTTTTTCTAGCTGTTTTCAAGGGAGAATGTGATTCCAGCCTCTTTATTCCACCACATTGTTGTGGAGTATCAAAGCTACTTATTTTTAAAGAAGATCACTTTTGCTGCCACCAGGGAGTGAGTGAGAATGAACTGAATCAGAGGGGTGAATGAGAAGAGGCAATGAGAGAAAAGTAACAATATAACAGTAGAAATAATAATAATGAGCATTTATTGGACATTTACTCAGTTCAAAGAACTGTACTTAGGTTTTTCATTTTATTTGATTTTTGCAACAAATCTATTGCCAGGAAGTTCTGGATTCTTTGCTTGCACATTTCAAAGAGGGCAAAAACGGCAAAGGACAGGGATTAAATCTTTTTTTTTTTAAATTTATGCATACAAGATCTGGGGTGTAAGCCAGAGGTACAGGGGTGAGAGAACTCACCAGAGACAGAGTGGGTAGCAGAACAGGCAGATCCACTGAAATACAGTGCTGAAGGGAGCAGTGAGTGAGACAGGAGAGGTCTGCTGCACCAAGTGGGTCAGCTCCCTGGCCAGGGATCGAACTTGTACTGCAGTGGCTGCTAATAGCTTCATATTGCTGAGACTTAACCAGATTAAATCTTTAATATGCACTTTCATTAGATCAGCCACCTAATCTGAGATGGGCCAAGCCTTATGCTCCAAAGAAACAGGGAACACCTCACCTCTATAGTGACTTAAACAGTTAATTATCAGCAAGTGGGCCTTCACTCCAGACAGTTACTAACTCTGAGAGTTTTATGGTGCCCTGTCTCCCTGGCAGCTCCCCTTCCAGTGGCATTTGGATTTAGAGCACTTCACCCCTGAGATGGTTCAGCCTCTGACACAATGGCATCCATCATATTCCCAGGTGCCTCCTGGACTGCACTGTGGAACTAACTCAGAGCAAACAGGTCATAGATTCCTAAACTATGGGTGGTGCCCTTTTTATCCCCCTCCCTAGTCCCTAGCAAGCCCTCTGAGGTTATCTGTATTTTATAGAGGGAAAAATTCAGGCTCAGAGAAGTTAAGTAATTTGCCAATAAGTAGCAGTCTGGACTCTGGCCCTTGCGGTTCACCACACATAAAATAATAAACATTTTTACACTGTTTACTACATGTCAGCTGCTGTTCTAAGTACTTGACTCTTCACAACTACCTTGAAAGGCAGATGTTATTATTTCAGTTTTAATGAGGAGGAAGCTAAGGCCCCCAAGAGGTTAATTATATCCATACCCTATAAGCAACTGGCTGAGCAAGTCCTTCTAGCTCCAAAACCCTATTCTTTGAATACATCTTTGCTTTCTCTCACCCTGGAGGGCATTTCTGTTCCCACATGCTGGCAGCAGAGTTTTATGGCCAGCAGTTGAGCCATGGCATTTGCTTCTACTTTCTGAACCTTCTGGAATCTCTCCCAACCAGCTTTGCTTGGGCATCTCTTCCATCTTTTTTTCCCCCATGAAGACAGAGAAGCCCCCATCCTCTCTGTCTGGAGTCTGGGGACTCTTACTCTCCAGTGGGACATGCTTGCTTTTCCCTAAGCCCCAAG